CGTCCGTCAGGCGGCCAAAGCAGCGCTGGGTGGGGTGGGCACCCCCACACTGCTCACCCGCACGGTCGCCAGTGCGCAAAACGTAGGAGCACGGACCAAAACCCCCACCCCGCTGACGCGCAGTGTACCACTCACGAAGCTGCTGAGGGGACAGGGTGTCACGACCACGCTGCTGCTGCTGGCGCGAGCCACCACCGGAGCCACTCCTCTGCGAAGACCCGCGACCAGCACCACCGCCACCCCCGCCGCCTCCGACGCCTCCGCCGCCTCCGCTACTGCCGCCGCCTCCGCCTCCGCCGCCGCCTCCACCTCCGCCACCTCCGCCACCTCCGCTCCCACCGCCACCGCCGCCGCCACCTCCACCTCCACTGCCGCCACCGACCCCTCCACCCCCACCTCCACTCCCACCGCCACCCCCACTCCCCCAACTGCCGCCACCTCCACCTCCACCGCCCCCGCTCGCTCCTCCAGCGCCCTTGCCCCCCTTGCCCTTGCCAGAGCGGCGTCTCCCGCTAGGGGCAGACGCCGCACCGACCGACTCAAGAACAAGGAGGTCGGCCGCAGCAGCAGAGGCAACAGAGGGCAGAAGGGGGGAGGGGGAACACCCCTCAAAGATGGGGGTGCGCGGGTCACCACGAGAGGCCCCTACAGCGACGATGCTCTTCTCGGCCGCTAGGAGGGACTTCTCGAGGAGGTCAACAGTGAGAGTGGTGGGACAGACAGAGAGAAAGTGGTCCCTGACTACGCGAAGGGAGTCAGGAAGGCGAGTGACTATGTAGTAAAGAGTGATGTACATGGGGGGGGGGTTCCTGGCGCAGAAGTCAGGAGGGAGTGCAGCGCGGTAGCGAGTGTCACTAGTGCGGAGGTGCGTAATGAGGTCAGTGACTGTGGGAAAGGCAGTAAGATCAGGGAAGAGGTACGGTAGCATGAGACGGCTCAGTGCAGCAGTGGCAGGGGAGGAGTAGCGCGCAACTACAGCGTCGTACAAGGTCTGAGCACTCTTGTACTGACTAAAGTGCGCACGCTCGGAGGTAGGGAGGTGGCGACGCACAGCAAGACGTGCAGCAGCGTCGCGCGTGGCCCACTGGGAGCGAACAGTGGCGTCAGCATCAGCAGCAGGGGCAGTAGAGGTGCCAGAGGTGAGGTCAAAGAGAGAGAGGCCGTCTGCCCTATCGCACTGTAAGAACAGCTGCAGGTCATCTACCCAGACCTCAAAGTCAATGGCCCTACCCTCAGCGTCAAAGGCGAGAACACTAGGGGTAGCCATGACCCTAGACGACTAGCAGCGCAAACAGTGGGGTGAGGACAGTGCAGTGAAAAGGCGCTGTGCTCACCAGACTGGGCAGGTCGGGCGGCCCTGAAGGAGGGCGGCGCGGCGGCTCGGCGGCTCAGCTGCTGGGCGGCCCGGCGGCTCGGCGGCTCAGCTGCTGGGCGGCTCGGCTGCTGGGCGGCTCGGCTGCTGGGCGGCGCGGCCGCTGGGCGGCTTGGCTGCTCGGCGGCTCGGCTGCTCGGCGGCTCGGCGGCTCGGCTGCTGGGCGGCTCGGCTGCTGGGCGGCTCGGCGGCTCGGCTGCTGGGCGGCTCGGCTGTGCTGCTGCAGGGCACGGGGCCGCAGGTAAGGGCGGCGGGGCCGCTGGTAAGGGCGGCGTGGCCGCGGGTAGGGTGGCGGGGCCGCAGATAGGGTGGCGGGGCCGCAGTAGAGGGCGGCGGGGCCGCAGGTAAGGTGGCGGGGCCGCAGGTAAGGTGGCGGGGCCGCAGGTAAGGTGGCGGGGCCGCAGCAGAGGGCGGCGGGGCCGCAGGTAAGGGCGGGGCCGCAGGTAAGGTGGCGGGGCCGCGAGGAAGGGCGGCGGGGCCGCTAGGTAGGGCGGCGGGGCCGCGCGATGGGGCGGCGGGGCCGCGCGATGGGGTGGCGGGGCCGCGAGGAAGGGCGGCGGGGCCGCGCGATGGGGCGGCGGGGCCGCGCGATGGGGCGGCGGGGCCGCGCGATGGGGCGGCGGGGCCGCGATGGGGCGGCGGGGCCGCTAGGTAGGGCGGCGGGGCCGCGCAATGGGGCGGCGAGGCCGCGAGGTAGGGCGGCGGGGCCGCTAGGTAGGGCGGCGGAGCCGCTAGGAGAGAGGCGGCGGGGCCGCGAAGACGGGCGGCGGGGCCGCGGAGACGGGTGGCGGGGCCGCAGGGCAGGGCCTCTAGGGCGGCTCGACGAAGTGAGGGCCCGAAGCGCGACTCGGGCTGAGCGCTCTTCGGGCAGGAAAAAAAAATCGATGTGGTGGGCCCTAAGCACAGTTCCCAAGGGGGAACCTGCTCGATACCATGAGAAGATTTGAACAAGAATGAATGAACTATGAAATGAAGTGAGTACAAATATGAAACCCTAATTGGTTGTACCCCCTATGGGATACCCCACTATAGCCTACACAACAGCATAAGCTATAATGTTCTGACACTTGTGCTCAGAATGTGTGGTGACATTGTGATCCACCCTGAGCTTGTACTGCTTTACTTGCTCTGCTGATTACACCCCACTTTGGCTATGGGGGTGTGTCAGAATATTATGCTCTAGCCTGTAGTGGGGTGCTCTATAGCGAGTACAACCCTTCTAGGGTTTGCTATTTGTATCCTCATTCTTGCTAGTGCAACCCCTCTTCTTCCTTTTAAAATTTCACACTCTGCGGACAGCCTCGCGGATCGCGAATCGCGGTTATTCTCAATTGCAGGGCTCGAAAACCACACCCACACGAAGAAAAAACTTCTCTATTTTCTAAGAGCTCGTCCCAGCTGACAGGCTTCTGAACAGTGGGGGTCGAAACGAAAGTGATGACGACTGACAGTGTCGCTAACTAAAAGGTAGTCGTTGTTAGGGTTGGTTCGCCCAACCACGGAACCTACGGCGAAAGCTTCTACGACGGCGGAATGACGGCGAAATGGAAGCACGTGGATGATTCTAGGTGAAACGGTGGAAATCGGCCTACGGTGGAGAATGGAAGCTACGGCGTGAGAAGCAAGAGAGAAATTGGGAAGAAACTAGAGAAATGGAGGAAGAAGAGTGAAGAAGTATCGAGATTGGAGTTGACAAGGGGAAATTGTGGTTCGAGACTGAGGCGTGTTCGAGAAGGTGCTGGATTCGGACTCGAGGAGTGTTCGGCGAATTCGGTTCGGTTCCGTGTGCGACTCGGGGTGAAACGAGGCGCACGCGGTTACTTGGGAAACAAGTGAAGTTACGAATCGCATTTTGTGTCTTGCATGCCTATAAAACTGCTTGTACTCATTCTGGAAATATAACATTGATCAATTGGTGATTCTGAAAATTGCTGAAGTGTGTATTGACAACTTCAAGCAGAGCTACGCATATCGTTGGATTCGGGAGATCGTGTAGAACACGATAAGCAATAGCAAGTAGACTATTGCCGACTAAGGTGCTTACGATCCTAAGAACTGGTATCAGAGCTTGGCGAACGGGCGCGTCGATCGCGGTGAATTCACTTGGTGCGCTAAGTGAAATTAGTGGAGAAGAGGAGTCGTGCACGCCTACGCCATGGGAGACGAGGCGAGTTCGGGTTCCAGTGTGAGTCTTGGAGACCCGCAGTTGAAGGCTCTTCTTGAGGCCCTTGCGAGTGGCCGATTGGTGGCGAAACCGACGATCGGGCTCAGTGAAGCCCAGCGCTTCAACGGGAGCAACTACAACGTGTGGCGGAAGAAGTTCATTCGAAGGGCAGAGGAGGTGGACCTCTTGCCGTACTACCGTCCGGACGAGGAGACGATGGAGGGAGTTGCGCCTTCCACGACGGATACGAAGGAGAAAATAGCGGCGTTCAAAAAACAAAGTAAGCAAGCGTTCTTTCAGCTTTGTCACTCAGTTGCCGATGGAATCGCGGTGGATTTGGACCAGTTTGCAGGGGAGCTGAACTCTGCACAGAAAGCGTGGGAGTACCTGGAGTCCACGTACATGGGCACGAACGATGTCAACAAGAAGGCGATTAGGAAGCAACTGCTGATGCTGAGCATGGAGAAAGGCGAGAAAATCATCACCTACATCAACAGGGCGAAAAACTACAACGACGACTTGCGGGTGATGGGAGCCGCGGAGACGGAGCACGAGATGATTGACTATATCATTCAAGGCCTTCCTAAGGAGTGGGAATCCGACATCGGTATGTTTACGTACCAACCGCCGGAGAGTTTGACGAAGCTGCAGGAGATTCTGCAATCGCTTGAGACGGTGAAGGAGATGAGGAAAAAGAAAGCGGCAGCAGCAGCTACGGATTTCGACGAGGAGAGGCCGGCTTTGGTGAATGCAACGAAGGCGTTTGGAGCGTGCTACCAGTGTGGAAAGAGGGGGCATAAGGCGATAAACTGCTACGAAAATCCGCGAAGCAGAAACTACAAGGGCAAAGCGGTGGAGAACGAGAAAGGAGAAAATGGGGGAGCAGAGTGGCAACAGAAACGAGGTTTTGGCGGCAAGTGCGATTATTGTGGGCGCTACGGACATCGTGCCGCAGAGTGCTACTCCAATCCGAACAGCAGGAGCTACAAGGGTCCGTCGCAGCAGAGGAATGTGGCGGAAGCGAACGAGGATGGTGTGATCCTTGGAGGAGCGCATCTTGCGAACGTGGTGCGTTTACCAAAGGAGGTTCGTCAGACGGACGGACGTGAGAAGACGTCATGGTACATGGACAGCGGATGCACGCGTCACATGACATTCAGGTCAGATTGGATGGCGAATGTGAGGGAGTCGAGTGAGGATTATATTCTGCAAGGTAACAGTGGGAAGTTACCAGTGACAGGAGAGGGTGATGTGGTGCTGCAGAGTCCGTATGGAGAGGTGAAACTGGAGAGTGTGTTGCTGGTTGAGGATTTAAAGGTGAACTTGATCAGTCAGTCACAGCTTGATGACTTGGGGTGCAAGATATTCTATGACAGTGGTGAGGTGACTGTGTTTGGTCCTGAGTGGGAGAAGTATGCTGATGGTTACTTCAGTGACGGGTTCTATGAGATGAACTTGGTCGCGATGAAGGGCATAGATGAGTTCTATGAGGACCGAGAGTATCCTGAGATGGGAGAATTGGAGGAGTTATCGAATGAGGCTGATAAGAGCGAGGACACGGATGATACGGGAGCGAGTGTGGAGGCAGCGGAGAAGCAGGAAGAGGAGATAGTCACCATGGAGGCAGCAGCAGTGAATGGTGGAGATGGAGATGGTGTCAACACTTTTGCAGCAGCGATCGTGGTTGAAGATGAAGCAGTAAATGCGAAGTGTGTGGGAGTCGCTGTGAAAGGGGACATCATGGTGAAAGGATCAAAGGCGAATGCAACTGCAAAGGGGCGAGTGCTTACAAAGGAGGAACATGTTGAGGGGTATGAGACCCGAGAGGTGTTGAGTGTTAAGATGCCGAGGAGAAGTGAGAGGCTTAAGAAAATGTCTCAAGGTTTGGACGTCAAGGCGCTCAAATTCAAGACACGTAAGGAGAGGTTCAAGGTGGAGGACCTGCAGGAGAGCTTGAAGCCGACTTAGACCCTGTGAAGGCTACGAGGAACAGGGGAGCAGTGCGAGTGGTGTTCGTGGTTGACGAACCACAGGGGAGATTGTTAGGGTTGGTTCGCCCAACCACGGAACCTACGGCGAAAGCTTCTACGACGGCGGAATGACGGCGAAATGGAAGCACGTGGATGATTCTAGGTGAAACGGTGGAAATCGGCCTACGGTGGAGAATGGAAGCTACGGCGTGAGAAGCAAGAGAGAAATTGGGAAGAAACTAGAGAAATGGAGGAAGAAGAGTGAAGAAGTATCGAGATTGGAGTTGACAAGGGGAAATTGTGGTTCGAGACTGAGGCGTGTTCGAGAAGGTGCTGGATTCGGACTCGAGGAGTGTTCGGCGAATTCGGTTCGGTTCCGTGTGCGACTCGGGGTGAAACGAGGCGCACGCGGTTACTTGGGAAACAAGTGAAGTTACGAATCGCATTTTGTGTCTTGCATGCCTATAAAACTGCTTGTACTCATTCTGGAAATATAACATTGATCAGTTGGTGATTCTGAAAATTGCTGAAGTGGGTATTGACAACTTCAAGCAGAGCTACGCATATCGTTGGATTCGGGAGATCGTGTAGAACACGATAAGCAATAGCAAGTAGACTATTGCCGACTAAGGTGCTTACGATCCTAAGAGTCGTAACTAACAGCAGCAAACGGGATAGCAGCTTACGAGATGAAGCCACAATCTACGACGCCGCCTGTTGCGCTTCTGACAACCCTAATCTGGCTTGTAGTCCCGCTGTTCTGCGCGGTTCGAGGAGCTGCAGCGGCAGATGCGGTTTTAAATGCCTCCCAGAGTGCGTGAGCATAACCCTAGGTTCCACCGTCACTGGTTCCATATCTGTTCTTTTAGCGTAACGTCGCACGTTCAGGCTTTCCGCAGTTTCTGCACGGACGTGCGACCATGTGGCCTTACCAGGGTACATTTTCCGTTCGAGAGTTCTCAAATGTCGGGTTTTGAAACGTGTCAAAATGGTTACTGTCCAACTTTCCCTCATATAACGCGTGTCACTACTACCTACGTTTCAATGTCCGCCTACATACAATTCCTGCTCCCCAATTTAAAACACGCCTGGGATTTTGTTCAGAAATCTATTTAGAAAACCTCGTGCTCCCGCCAACCGCCGCGCCAGAACCCGCACTGCCAGAACCGACATCGGCGGCAGCGGCGCTGGTTCCAATGCATCTAGCCGTCGCGTCCGAGTTTTGAGGCGCCTTAATAAGCCGTCACGTCACGTCACCACTCGCCCGCAGGCTGACTTGACTTTTGAGTCGACTAAAATTCGCCTGGTGACCACCCGTACGGTCCTACGGGTCTTTGCAGCTTCCTACCACTCGGCTCGCGGGGTCCCGCTTACGTCCCCCACCCCCCTCCCCCCCCAACGGATTCTAGAAACTGCCGCGATCCGCGCTGGAAAGGGTCGCGCGTGCGCGCCCTTTCTTCGCCATTCCCCTTCCCTTTCCCCCCCCCTCCCTTTTCCCCAGATCCCCCCCACCCCCATTCCTCCTCTGCGCGTGCCGCGCCTCCCGCTCCTCCCACCTTCTACCTTTTTTTTCCCGAATTCCCTCCCCCTCCCCCCTTCCCCCTCCCTCGCTCCCCCTCCCCCCTTTCCCCCCCAATTTCCCCACCCACCCACTGTCAGGATCCGCGCTGGAGAGCGTCGCGCGTGCGCGCCTTTTCTTCGGCATTCCCCGTCCCGTTCCTCCCCACTCCCTTTTCCCCGGATCCCCCCCACCGTTCCCCCCTTCCCCCCCCCCCCCAACCCCCCCTCTGCGCTGGAGAGGTGGTGAGTGTGCCTCCCGCTCCCCCCCCCCCTTACCCCTTTCTCCCCCACCCCCCCCCTTTCCCCTCCTTCTTCCCCCCCCCCCCCCTCTTTCCCCTCCTTTCTCCCCCCCCTTTCCCCTCCTTTCCCCCCCATCCCTCCACCCAGGAAATAGACGTGACTGTCGACAATCTGGCCTGCGGGGGGTTTCCTCCTCATGAGGCGCTTCAGAAAAACTTCCCCTTTAGCCCCCCCACTTATCCACAGGATCAGCGTTTCCGAAGGTGATGTGTGTGTCAGCCATCGGAGTGAGTGACGATGATCTGGTCTAGTCTGGTCTGCGGGGGTGTGTTCCTGGTAAGGCCCTCCCCCTGAAAAACAAATTCCCCCGCATCACACCTCCCCCCACATCACACCTTCCCCCACATCCCACCTCCCCCCGCATCCCACCTCCCCCCGCATCCCACCTCCCCTCCCCCCACATCCCACCTCCCGCCACTTCAGGGTCCGCGCTGCAGGTGGTGGGTGGTGAATGCGTCGACCATCGGAGTGAGTGAGTGACAATGATTTGGAGTGCGAGGGCTTATTCTTATCGAGGCGCCTGATTAACAACCTTTCCCCACATTCCCCCACATCACACCTCCCCCCCCCACCCCACCAGGATCCGCGCTGCAGATGGTGGGTGGTGAATGCGTCGACTATCGGAGTGAGTGACAAGGATTTGGAGTGCGAGAGCTTATTCTTATCGAGGCGCCTGATTAACAACCTTTCCCCACATCCCCCCACATCACACCTCCTTCCACACCAGGATCCGCGCTGCAGCTGGTGGTGAATGCGTCGACCATGGGAGTGAGTGACGATGATCTGAAGTGCGGGGGCTTCCTCCTGTTGAGGCGCCTAAGAGAAGTAACCTCCCCCTCCCCACTCACCTCCCACCACACCAGGGTCCGCGCTGCAGCTGGTGGTGAATGCGTCGACCACGGGAGTGACTGATGAGGAGCTGGAGTGCGGGGGCTTCCTCCTCATGATTACATGCGATGCACAGGGCCGTGTGACCGGCATGTGAGTGCGAGGGTAGGGGTTTAAGCTGGCATTGACTTGACCAGAGTTGTTGACTGATGAGGATCTGGAGTGTGAGGGCTTCCTCCTTATGATCTCATGCGACGCGACGCGACGCGCAGGGCCGTGTGACCGGCATGTGAGTTCTGAATGTGGGGATGTATGTGTGCGTGCGAGTGTGGGGGTGTGCGTGCGAGTGCGGGGGCGTGCGTGTGAGTGCGGGGGTGTGCGTGCGAGTGTGGGGGTGTGCGTGCGAGTGCGGGGGTGTGCGTGCGAGTGCGGGGGTGTGCGTGCGAGTGCAAGTGGGGAATACTGGATGGGACGGCAACCGCGTTTGAAGATTTGTTGCAAAGCGCGAAATGTTTGCAGCTTTTGTCTGTTTCCTACTCAGCACAAAAATCAAAAACTGCCGTACATAGGTTGAGGAGCTTTAGTGAAGCACGCATACTGTAACCAGCTGGAATTTCATTACCAAAGCGTCTCATTTCCCTCCTTAATTCCTAGTTATGCTAACAACACCTTTCAACTAGTTGATCTGCCTCGCCCCACGTCCCCCTGCCTCGCCCCATCTCGCCCCACCTTGCCCCACCTTCCCCCACCTCGCCCCACCTCCCCCCACCTCGCCCCACCTCTCCCCACCTCGCGCCACCGTGCCCCTCCAGGTTGCTTCCCTATATGGCTGACGTTCCATCTGACATCGTCCAACTCTCCCGCCTGGAATCACTGTGAGCAGCACTGCTGGGAGGGAAGGGAGGGTTGCTGGTCTGGGAGGGGTGCTAGGGTGCTTCCGTATATGGCTGACGTTCCATCTGACATCGTCCAACTGTCCCGCCTGGAATCACTGTGAGCCGTGCACTGCTGGGAGAGAGGGCTTACTGTGAGGAGCACTCTGGAATCGATTTGAGCGGCTGACAGTGTCCAGCTAGCTCTCCCGCCTGGAATGACTGTGAGATGAGCACTGCTGGGAGGGGGGGGTTGCTGGGAGGGTTGCTGGGAGGGTTGGTTGACCACCAATTGGTGCAGTGTGAGTTCGTTTGATTTGAATGGCTTGTTGGGGAGAATCAACTCAGTCATTCATCATTACTCATAGTCCACTCCACTCCGCTCCACTCCACTCCACTCCACTCCACTCCATTCACTCATCGCGCCCTCCCCCTTCCTGCCACCCTTCCCTTTAACTACCACCCCATCAGGAGCATGGAGGGCAACAGCGCCCAGCCTCCCTCCTCCCGTGCTCGCGTCATTCACTCCATCCTTCATTCATTGGACGCTCCCCCCTGCCCTCCGCTGTTTCCCCTTCCCACCACCCCACCAGGAGCATGGAGGGCAACGGTGCCATGCCCAGCCTGCCTTCCGTCCTCGGCTCTATCACCTCCCTCACTCGCCTGTCAGTCATGCTCCATCCCTTCCCTTCCTCTCCTCCCTCCTCTCACTTCCCTCACCCGCCTGTCAATCAACCTTCCTCCGTTCTTCTCTCCTTCCACTTCCCTCACTATACCTTCTCTCACTCCTTTCACTTCCCTCACTAGACTTTCTACTCCTCCCACTTCCCTCACTCGTCTATTAGGCATGAATTTCCTCCCTCCATCCCACCTTTCCTCCCTCCATCCCACCTTTCCTCCCTCCGTCCCACCTTTCCTCCCTCCGTCCCACCTTTCCTCCCTCCGTCCCACCTTCCCTCCCTCCATCCCACCTTTCCTCCCTCCATCCCACCTTTCCTCCCTCCGTCCCACCTTTCCTCCCTCCGTCCCACCTTTCCTCCCTCCGTCCCACCTTTCCTCCCTCCGTCCCACCTTTCCTCCCTCCGTCCCACCTTTCCTCCCTCCGTCCCACCTTTCCTCCCTCCGTCCCACCTTTCGTCCCTCCGTCCCACCTTTCCTCCCTCCGTCCCACCTTTCCTCCCTCCGTCCCACCTTTCCTCCCTCCGTCCCACCTTTCCTCCCTCCGTCCCACCTTTCCTCCCTCCGTCCCACCTTTCCTCCCTCCGTCCCACCTTTCCTCCCTCCGTCCCACCTTTCCTCCCCGTCCCACCTTTCCTCCCTCCGTCCCACCTTTCCTCCCTCCGTCCCACCTTTCCTCCCTCCGTCCCACCTTTCCTCCCTCCGTCCCACCTTTCCTCCCTCCGTCCCACCTTTCCTCCCTCCGTCCCACCTTTCCTCCCTCCGTCCCACCTCTCCTCCCTCCGTCCCACCTTTCCTCCCTCCGTCCCACCTTTCCTCCCTCCGTCCCACCTTTCCTCCCTCCGTCCCACCTTTCCTCCCTCCGTCCCACCTTTCCTCCCTCCGTCCCACCTTTCCTCCCTCCGTCCCACCTTCCCTCCCTCCGTCCCACCTTTCCTCCCTCCATCACACCCCACCCAGTAACATGGTCTCAGCTGCCAGTGGCGGCACCATCCCTCCATCTTTCATCCGACTCAAGAGACTGCGGCATCTGTACGTGGTATCACTGTGTGGGTGTGGGTGTGGGCGGGTGTGGGCGGGTGTGGGCGGGTGTGGGTGGGTGCGGATGTGTGCGTGTGTGTGTGTGCGTGTGTGTGTGTGTGTGTGCGTGTGTGTGTGTGTGTGGGTGTGTGTGTGTGTGTATGTGTGTGGGTGTGTGTGTGTGCGTGGGTGTGTGTGTGTGTGTGTGTGTGGGTGTGTGTGTGTGTGTGTGTGTGTGTGTGTGTGCGCGCGCGCGCGCATGTGTTGCCCCTCCACCCCTCCACTGCCCCGCCACCCCTCCATTGCCCACCTGCCCCTCCGGTGTCCCTCTCCTCCGGTGCCCCTCGCCCTTAGTTGGATTTGACGGTCCCTGGAAAAGATTTTCGGGCAGCCCGAAATCGAAATTTGTTTCCGGCGCAAAAAAAAAATCGCTTCTAAACATCGCGACTGCTAAGGCACTCGAGATCGCGACTGTTAAGGCACTTGCTAAGGTGACTACTAGGGCACTCGACATCGCGAATGGAAAGGCGATCACTAAAGCACTCGACATCGGGACTGCTAAGTCAACATCGCGACTACTAAGGCGACTGCTAAGGCAACTTATAAGGCACTCGATGTCGGGACTGCAATGTCTCGACATTGCACCACACAGGAAAGCCTAACACAAAATCCAACCCATCCACCCCTTTCGACCGCACTACAACTACATAACCCAACCTGCACACACAAAAACCAACCCCTCCACCACTAACTAATCTTTAGCCTTCTTCACCCCCCCGAGTCCCACCCCCCATGTTTTTTTTTTGCTGCCCGAAAGTTTTTTTTACCTGCCCGCCCGAGCGTCAATAACACCGTCAAACTCGCGGAACGAGACCGTCAAGCGTCAAAACTGGACCGTCAAACCGGAACCGTCAAAACCGCTTGCTCCGTCAAATCCAACTAAGCCCTCGCCTCCCTACTGCCCACCTGCCCCTCCATTGCCCCTCTCCTCCTTGCTGCCACAGAGTCGTCACCCTTCCTCTCCTCGCATATTTGTCTTCCTTTGCCTGTTTGCCCATTTGCTTACTCGCCTATCTGTCCATTTGCTATCTAATTTACCCCTCCTTGAACAACAATCTGGAATCTGGAGGGCGCCATTCCTCCCTTTCTCTCCTCTCCTTGCTTATTTGCCTCCCTTTGCCCGTACGCCCATTTCCCCGTTTGCTCACGTGCCCTTTGCCCTCCACCCCGCCTTGGTCGCACAGACCCTGATGATCGCACAGACCCTGATGATCGCACAGACCCTGATGAACAACAACCTGGACGGCCCCATTCCGCCCTTCCTCTCCTCTCCTCTCTTATTTGTCTTCTCTTCCGAGTTCCAACTCCCATTTCCCCTCTGCCCCTCCATGTGCCCTCGGTCCTTCCTTGATCGCGCAGAGTCCTGATGAACAACAACTTGGACGGCCCCATTCCTGCCTTCCTCTCCTCCCTCACTGCCCTAACACACCTGTACGTTCTCACTCATTCCTCTATCTATCTCAACACCACAGCACTAAGTATGTTACGGTGAGTCTACTTTTGAGGCGCCTCAAAACTCACTGCTCGTACACACCTGTACGCCCTCACTCTATATCTCCACACCACTGCACTAACTTGTTACTGTGTACTAAGCCGTATCGTCTCTCTTACTCCTCCCCTGAGTTTGCCTCTGAGTTTGAACTGCTCGACTGGTGCGTGCCGCCCGCACCACCCTTGCATGCCGCCCGCTCCACCCGTGCATGCCGCCCGCCCAGATCACTATCGTGCGCAACAGAATGTTCCCCCCTCTTCGCTCTGCCTTCTTCCCGCTCCCTCCCCCACCTCCCCTTCCACGTTCTCCCACCCTCCAGATCTCCTCCTCCATTCACATTTCCCTCCCCCTCTCCCACCTCCCTTCCCCCGTTCTCCCTCCAGATCCCTCGGTTCCAGCCAGCTCTCCTCCTCCATTCCCCCTAAAATCTCCAGGTTCCAGAAGCTCGCTATGCTGCTCCACCTTTTCCCGCCCCTCCCCCATCCCCCCTCCCCCATTCTCCCCTTCCCCAGATCCCTCGGTTCCAACCAGCTCTCCTCCTCCATTGCCGCTAAAATCTCCAAGCTTCCACCTCCCTCCCCCCGTTCCCCACCTCCACTCCCCCACCTCCACTCCCCCACCTCCACTCCCCCACCTCCACTCCCCCACCTCCCTCCCCCCATTTTCCCCCCTTCTCAGATCGCTCGGTTCCAACCAGCTGACCTCGTCCATCCCTGCAAGAATCTCCAGGCTTCAAAAGCTCGTTACACTGTGTGTAGAAGCTTGTGTTTTATTTTATTTACTTACTCATTCTTTCATTCATTTCCGCAATGGTCCTTGTTTCCACGTACGGAGGGGCTAGCATCTGTGTCAGTTACGTGTCACAGGGGTGCAGGCAGTCTTTCTCGTGTGTAATGGATGGAGGAGGCTGGTTTGTGTGATGTGAACCATTTTCTCGCGTGTATAACATTCCTGTTGGCTTGGCTCCATCGAGTGTCTGAAACTCGTGTTTTCGTGTTTTGAGACGTCTCAAGACATGCAACATGAGTTCGTCTCATGTCCTTCTTCCAACGTGTTTTGAGACGTCTCCAATCATGTCCTTCTTCCAACGTGTTTTGAGACGTCTCCAATCATGTCCTTCTTCCAACGTGTTTTGAGACGTCTCCAATCATGTCCTTCTTCCAACGTGTTTTGAGACGTCTCCAATCATGTCCTTCTTCCAACGTGTTTTGAGACGTCTCCAATCATGTCCTTCTTCCAACGTGTTTTGAGACGTCTCCAATCATGTCCTTCTTCCAACGTGTTTTGAGACGTCTCCAATCATGTCCTTCTTCCAACGTGTTTTGAGACGTCTCCAATCATGTCCTTCTTCCAACGTGTTTTGAGACGTCTCCAATCATGTCCTTCTTCCAACGTGTTTTGAGACGTCTCCAATCATGTCCTTCTTCCAACGTGTTACGTGGGTTGGCTTGGCTCCTGCATTCCTCCTCCTCGCGCCTCTCCCTCCGCCCCTCCCTATGCCGCTCTCTTCTCCCCACGCCCGCAGTGACCTGTCGCGCAACCAGATCTCCGGCTCCCTGTCTCCCCTCACAGCCATGCCACTGCTGAGCCAAGTGTAAGCTCTCGTCCCGATGCCTGCTGTAGAACCCCCCTGCATCTCTTCTCGCCCTTCAAAAATCCGGCTACCTGTCTCCCCTCACACAGCCATCCATGCCACTGCTGAGCTAACTGTGAGCTCATTCAAAAACAGATGGCTGTTGCAAATCCCGCTTTGTTTCAACCATCTCCACCTCGTTTCACCTCGCTTCGCCCCTGAGACTCCGTTCTGCTCCTGTAACTCTCTCCTTGCTTGACCAATGTGTTCCGCTGGTCTTAACGTTTTTAAAGTAACAAACCAGTTACCGAAACAAACTCGTCCTCTAAAAATCCCAAACAATCCTTCTTGTTTCATCCCCTTCAGTTACCCCTCCTTCCCCCACATCCCTCGCCTTATCCATTACCCTCCAAAACCACTTCCCCCCCAACCAACCCCGTTGCGGCAGCAATCTCGAATTCAATTCGCTCGGCTCGACCCTGCCAAGCTCTATCTCCAAGCTGAAGCGGACTTTTGAGTCGACTCAAAAGTCTACACTCCCCTCCCCCCCCCCCCCGCCCCCCCTTCCCCCCTCCCTCCCTTGCTGCACTATCTCCAAGCTGAAGCAGAATTTTGAGTCAACTCAAAAGTCTACACTCCCCCCCGCTCCCTCCCTCCCTCCCTCCCTGCGACAGTAATCTGGAATTCAATCTGCTCGGTTCGACTCTGCCAAGCTCTATCTCCAGACTCAGGCGGCTAACTCAGCTGTACGTTGCTTGTTAGCCCTTTTGTGTGCGGTGGCAGCCTGGTAATCATGTGGTAACCACAAGTGGGGCAAGCTGTATCTCCAAACTTAAACGGCTAACTGAACTGTATGTTGCTTGTGTGCCCTCCCTTGGTGTGTGGTGGCAACCTGGTATGGTAAGGCATGTGGTAAGCCACGTGGTAACCACATGGTAACCACAAGAGGTCAAGCTCCCTCTCCAAACTCATAAGGCTGACTGAACTGAACTGAACTGAACTGAACTGAACTGAACTGTACGTCGCATGTGTGCTCCTTAGTGTGCGGTGGCAACCTGGTATGGTAAGCCACGTGGTAAGGTAAGGTAACCATGTGGTAACTGTGTAATTGTGTGGTAACCACTAGCAAACTGGCATACAGCTAGATAAGTGAAGCTGTCAGCTTTTGAGGCGCCTCAAAAGCTATCTTGGAGCAGGGCCATCAGATTATCATGTTCATATTGCATTTCATCTCAGCTAATTGCATTGAAGGCCATGGAATCATTTGTGTTCTCTTCTATTTTCAGTCGACTTGAAACACACAAAGTCATAAGGGTTAAGTTTCCTGGTCGCCTCAAAACCCGGGTTAAGGGTTAATTCCCGATAAAATTTCCAGGAATTTACTAGGGGACGCTTGATTTGATTTTGGGATAAAATACAGCAACTGACATCCCTGCCTCCCATCCGCACGGAAAGGAGCTGATGCCACATCCGCACTAAATGCTTAGGTCTCTCAGTGTCAACACCAATGGGCCTGTCTGTCCCTCAGTCCATCTCAGACCTCCTCAGCCAACCTTGTGGTTCTGTGATGTCCCTCCTACTCTCCACTCTGCCTGTTCAGGTCTCTCACTGGTAACAAGATCAGCGGCCCTGTGCCTCTGCCTATCTCAGGCATCTTCAATCAACCGTGTGCTTCTGTGATGTCCCTCCCACTCTCCACTCTGAGTGTTCAGGTCTCTTACAGACAACAAAATCAGTGGGTCTGTGCCTCGGGCCATCTCAGGCCTCTCTAACCTCCAGCTCCTGTAAGGTCCCCTATTGCGTGTTGAGGGAATGAGCCCCTTTATTTTCATTTGAAGAGACGACTTTTGAGACATCTCAAGCCTCTGATCTGAGGTGCTGCTTATCCATCCTCTCTTCTGCATCCACTCTTCTGCATCCACTCTTCTTCATCCACTCTTTCATCCACTCTTCTTCATCCACTATTCTTGTATGTGATGTGATGTGATGTGATGTGATGTGATGTGATGTGATGTGATGTGATGTGATGTGATGTGATGTGATGTGATGTGATGTGATGTGATGCGATGGGATGCGATGCGATGCTATGCGATGCGATGTGATGTGATGATGCTGCAGGTACCTGGGAACCAACAACATCACGGGTTCTATCCCATCTGCCATTGGCTCTCTCAAGAAACTCGTTGCCTTGTATGTCATGCGATGCGATGCGATGCGATGCGATGTGATGAGATTTTGGGAAGAGTTTTGAGTCGACTCAAAACCATCCCATCTGCCATCGGCTCTCTGAAGAAACTCGTTGCCCTGTATGTCATGCGATGCAGCCAGTGTTTTGAGTCGACTAAAAAGAAACTCGTTGCCCTGTATGTCATGCGATGCAGCCAGAACCGCCTGTCTCCATCCATTTTGATAAAAACCACCAATCCACTTATGGTTAATATTACTTTGATGATTTGCGGCTCTCTGAGAAACTCCTTGCCTTGTATGGGATGCAGCTAGAACTTCCTGCCTCCATGATTTTGGGACGGGTTTTGAGCAGACTTGAGTCGACTCATAGCCATCCCATCCCATCTGCCCTCTCAGCAGACCTGTCATACAATCCCATGCCAGGCAGCCTGTTGTGGAGGCGCTTCGCTCAGAGAGGATCTGTCTCTCCTTTTTGTTAGAACTTGAGCTTAGAATGGATACATTAGTAATGAGCTCAAGGCTCTTTAAGTACATCGGAAATGGGCAAGGTAAGGATGGGGAGAGAATCGGGGGCAATCCTAGGGGATTGGGGGTAATCCCAAGGCAATCTCCAATTGGTGGGTTGGAGATTGCTTGGAGATCACATTTGGGTTTGGTTGGGATGTGGGTGTACACCCAACCAAACACAAAGTGCACACTACACTAGGATATAAAAGTGCAAGTACAAAATGTGAGATTGAGGGCTAACACTAACACTTTTACCCTTTCCCCTCCCACAAAGCAGGGCTCTGTCATACAACCCTGTTTCAGGCCGCGTGCCAGTGGTATGTCCTGATCACTTTCCCCCTTTCCCCTTCCAACCTACCCCTCTCTCCTACCCTCTCCCCATTCGACCAGGGACCTGTCATACAACACCGTTTCAGGCAGCGTGCTAATGGTGTGTTCCCCCCCTAGTCACCTTCCCCCTTTCCCCTTCCAACCTCCCCCATGCCTAAAAAGTACACTCTCCCTCCCTTACCCACCCTCCCACCGCCCAACCCGACCAGGGACCTGTCATACAACCCCATTTCAGGCAGCCTACCTGCAGCCATGGGCCCCCTACCTCGGCGCCTCAAAAATACACTTTCTCTCCTTTAACCACCCCACCCTCCCACCCACCCCACCGTCTTCCCCCCATCCAACCAGAGACCTGTCATACAAACCCATAACAGGCAGCCTGCCTGCAGCATGGAGCTCCCTTCAGTACCGTGCCTAAAAGTACACTCTCTCTCCCTCCCTTACCTGCCCTCCCACCGCACTGCCCACCCCAACCAGGGACCTGTCATACAACCCCATATCAGGCAGCCTGCCTGCAGCTATGGGCTCCCTCAAATCCCTCAGAATGCTGTACGTTGCATTAGCATTCAACACACCACCCAACCCAACCCCTTACTTCATATCCTGATTCTCAAGTATCCAATTGCCTCCATCAGCACATGTCTGGATTGGATCAGTGTCTTCTCATTCTCACTGGTGTCTCATTCTCACTAGTGTCTCATTCTCACTGGTGTCTCATTCTCACTGGTGTCTCATTCTCACTAGTGTCTCATTCTCACTAGTGTCTCATTCTCACTGGTGTCTCATTCTCACTAGTGTCTCATTCTCGCTAGTGTCTCATTCTCACTAGTGTCTCATTCTCACTAGTGTCTCATTCTCACTAGTGTCTCATTCTCACTAGTGTCTCATTCTCACTATTGACTCATTCTCGCTAGTGTCTCATTCTCACTAGTGTCTCATTCTCACTAGTGTCTCATTCTCACTAGTGTCTCATTCTCACTAGGGTCTCATTCTCACTAGTGTCTCATTCTCGGAATCACTGCTGGTTTGCACTGCCAAATGGTCTCCCTTCCTTCTAGGTTACGTTTGAGAAATCTCTCAAGTACCTCAGATGTCACTGTACAGCGCTTCCTTCGCTGTTTGATTCTTGACTTTTGAGTCAACTCAAAAGTCAACTCAAAAGTCAACTCAGATGTCACTGTACAGCGCTTCCTTCGCTGTTTGATTCTTCTCTTACTCACCGTTCTACCCATCTAGCTCTTCCTCTTTCGCACTGCCATGCAGCCCTCCTTCCGTCTTCGTCCCTCCCTTCACTATCGTAATCACCCTGGCTCTCACTCTTCCTTTCCCTTGGTGACAAGTTTAGTAGCGGAGTGGTTAGAGTCGCATGCCTCAACTCAACCACCCCGAAGGGTCTAGTTTTGAGGCGCCTCATAACGAGGTTGGAGCAGCATGCCTCAACAATCCCGAAGGGCCTTCCTCCTTGTATCTTCTCCCACCCGGCTCCTTGAATCACCTGTTCCTTCCCTCCTGCTATCATCTCCCCCCTTCCAGTAACATCAAGTCAGCATGTCTCAACAACTCTCTTCCTCTCACCCTTACAAAGCTGCAAGCGCTAGATAGCATGTAAGCTTGAGAGCATGTGAGCTTGAGAGCATGTGAGCTTGAGAGCATGTGAGCCAATGTTGCTACCCTTGAGTTGACTCGGTAGGCAGTGTACTCTCTTCCTCTCACCCTTACAAAGTTGCAAGCGCTTGACAGCATGTGAGCTTGGCAGCGACTTTTGAGTCGACTCAAAAGGCGCTTGAGAGCATGTGAGCTTGGCAGCATGTAAGGTCGAGAGCATGTGAGCTTGAGAGCATGTGAGCTTGAGAGAATGTGAGCTTAAAACCCGAGGTCCACAGGTTTCAAAGGTAGGACGGTTGGTTGGACCTGGTGACCCAATCAAAGGTAGGAAGGTTGGTTGGACCTGGTGACCCAACCAAAGGTAGGAAGGTTGGTTGGACCTGGTGACCCAACCAAAGGTAGGAAGGTTGGTTGGACCTGGTGACCCAACCAAAGGTAGGAAGGTTGGTTGGACCTGGTGACCCAACCAAAGGTAGGAAGGTTGGTTGGACCTGGTGACCCAACCAAAGGTAGGAAGGTTGGTTGGACCTGGTGACCCAACCAAAGGTAGGAAGGTTGGTTGGACCTGGTGACCCAACCAAAGGTAGGAAGGATGAGGCAATCTCGGGAAACTTGAGATTCCGGTTTTAAGAGCATGTGAGCTTGACCTATAAGCTTGTGAGGTACGACAGGAGGTATGGTCTTGTTCCGGCTCTTTCGCTTGCTCCGCATGTTGCAACAACTCCGTATCTCCCTTCCCCCGTTCTTTCTTTGCCTCCTTTCCCCCGTGCTCTCTCTGTCCCCTTTCCCCCATGCCCTCTCTCTCTGTCCCCTTTCCCCCGCAGCAACTTGCCCTACAACCAGCTCTCCGGCTCATTTCCTGGCTTCCTCGCTAACCTGACGTTTCTGACTTTAGTGTAAGCATGATGTGAGGATGATGTAGGTAGGCATGATGGCCCCTGTTATCAGGTGTCTGGGCATGATAACAAGGGCTTTTCTAATTCACTCTCGCCTTGACAACTCATTGACGCAGCTTACCAGCACGTTCACATGTTCGCCTTGCCGCCTCTCCACCCCACTTGCCGCCTCCCTCCCTCCTTCTCAGTCGCTTCAATAGCTGTAGCCTTCCGTGTCCTCCTTCCCTCAAATTATGTAGCTCTTGTTGCGCGTTAGATCCAGACATAGCCCAGTGAGCTGCTGTTGTTTCCTTTGCTTTAAGCCTACTACACGCACGCAGCTCACTGAGCTATGTCTGGATCTCGCTGTAGCCTTCCGTGTCCTCCTTCCCTCAAATTATGTAACTCTTGTTGCGCGTTTGGTGCGCGTCTGCAGGTCAACGCACACTCAAATTACGTAGCTCTTGTACACTTCCCTCCCTCCCCGTCCCCGCACCCAGTGACATGAGTGGAAAGCAGATCAGCGGCTCCCTCCCATCCTCGTTAGGGACTTCCTTTCCTTCCTTCGCTCCCTTTCTCCTATTTAGCCGCTTCAATCCATGTAGCCCCATTTTCTTCCCCTCCATCCCCTTCCCTGCACCCAGTGACATGAGTGGTAACCAGATCAATGGCTCCCTCCCACCCTCGTTAGGAAACTTCACGAACCTCTACAGGCTGTAAGGGGCACTACGATATGTCCATAACCATGCCATGCCATGCCATGCCATATTGCCATATTGCCATATTGCCATATTGCCATATTGCCATATTGCCATATTGCCATGTTGCCATGTTGCCATATTGCCATGTTGCCATGTTGCCATATTGCCATATTGCCATATTGCCATATTGCCATGTTGCCATATTGCCATATTGCCATATTGCCATGTTGCCATATTGCCATATTGCCATATTGCCATATTGCCATGTTGCCATATTGCCATGTTGCCATGTTGCCATATGCCATCCCTCCCATCCTCGTTTTGGGACTTCACGAACCTCTACAGACTGTAAGGGGCACCTTCTTTCTATACCCTTGCCATGCCATTCCATGCCGTGCCATGCCATGCCATCCTTTCCATACCATACCCGACCATACCATACCATACCATACCATACCATACCATACCATACCATACCATACCATACCTTACCGTCATGTGCCTGTCATGTGCCTGTCATGTGCCTGTCATGTGCCTGTCATGTGCCTGTCATGTGCCTGTCATGTGCCTGTCATGTGCCTGTCATGTGCCTGTCATGTGCCTGTCATGTGCCTGTCATGTGCCTGCTGTCATTGCTGTCATGTGCCTGTCATGATGCGCTGTCATGTGCCTGTCATGTGCCTGTCATGTGCCTGTCATGTGCCTGTCATGGCCTGTCATGTGCCCTGTCATGTGCCTGTCATGTGCCTGTCATGTGCCTGTCATGTGCCTGTCATGTGCCTGTCATGTGCCTGTCATGTGCCTGTCATGTGCCTGTCATGTGCCTGTCATGTGCCTGTCATGTGCCTGTCATGTGCCTGTCATGTGCCTGTCATGTGCCTGTCATGTGCCTGTCATGTGCCTGTCAGTGTGCCTGTTCATGTGCCTGTCATGTGCCTGTCATGTGCCTGTGCCATGTGCCTGTCATGTGCTGTCCTGTGCCTGTCTGTGCATGTCATGTGCCTGTCATGTGCCTGTCATGTGCCTGTCATGGTGCCTGTCATGTGCCTGTCATGTGCCTGTCATGTGCATGTCATGTTCATGTGCCTGTCAGTGTGCCTGTCATGTGCCTGTCATGTGCCTGTCCATGATGCCTGTCATGTGCCTGTCATGTGCCTGTCATGTGCCTGTCATGTGCCTGTCATGTGCCTGTCATGTGCCTGTCATGTGCCTGTCATGTGCCTGTCATGTGCCTGTCATGTGCCTGTCATGTGCCTGTCATGTGCCTGTCATGTGCCTGTCATGTGCCTGTCATGTGCCTGTCATGTGCCTGTCATGTGCCTGTCATGTGCCTGTCATGTGCCTGTCATGTGCCTGTCATGTGCCTGTCATGTGCCTGTCATGTGCCTGTCATGTGCCTGTCATGTGCCTGTCATGTGCCTGTCATGTGCCTGTCATGTGCCTGTCATGTGCCTGTCATGTGCCTGTCATGTGCCTGTCATGTGCCTGTCATGTGCCTGTCATGTGCCTGTCATGTGCCTGTCATGTGCCTGTCATGTGCCTGTCATGTGCCTGTCATGTGCCTGTCATGTGCCTGTCATGTGCCTGTCATGTGCCTGTCATGTGCCTGTCATGTGCCTGTCATGTGCCTGTCATGTGCCTGTCATGGTGCCTGTCATGTGCCTGTCATGTGCCTGTCATGTGCCTGTCATGTGCCTGTCATGTGCCTGTCATGTGCCTGTCATGTGCCTGTCATGTGCCTGTCATGTGCCTGTCATGTGCCTGTCATGTGCCTGTCATGTGCCTGTCATGTGCCTGTCATGTGCCTGTCATGTGCCTGTCATGTGCCTGTCATGTGCCTGTCATGTGCCTGTCATGTGCCTGTCATGTGCCTGTCATGTGCCTGTCATGTGCCTGTCATGTGCCTGTCATGTGCCTGTCATGTGCCTGTCATGTGCCTGTCATGTGCCTGTCATGTGCCTGTCATGTGCCTGTCATGTGCCTGTCATGTGCCTGTCATGTGCCTGTCATGTGCCTGTCATGTGCCTGTCATGTGCCTGTCATGTGCCTGTCATGTGCCTGTCATGTGCCTGTCATGTGCCTGTCATGTGCCTGTCATGTGCCTGTCATGTGCCTGTCATGTGCCTGTCATGTGCCTGTCATGTGCCTGTCATGTGCCTGTCATGTGCCTGTCATGTGCCTGTCATGTGCCTGTCCATGTGCCTGTCATGTGCCTGTCATGTGCCTGTCATGTGCCTGTCATGTGCCTGTCATGTGCCTGTCATGTGCCTGTCATGTGCCTGTCATGTGCCTGTCATGTGCCTGTCATGTGCCTGTCATGTGCCTGTCATGTGCCTGTCATGTGCCTGTCATGTGCCTGTCATGTGCCTGTCATGTGCCTGTCATGTGCCTGTCATGTGCCTGTCATGTGCCTGTCATGTGCCTGTCATGTGCCTGTCATGTGCCTGTCATGTGCCTGTCATGTGCCTGTCATGTGCCTGTCATGTGCCTGTCATGTGCCTGTCATGTGCCTGTCATGTGCCTGTCATGTGCCTGTCATGTGCCTGTCATGTGCCTGTCATGTGCCTGTCATGTGCCTGTCATGTGCCTGTCATGTGCCTGTCATGTGCCTGTCATGTGCCTGTCATGTGCCTGTCATGTGCCTGTCATGTGCCTGTCATGTGCCTGTCATGTGCCTGTCATGTGCCTGTCATGTGCCTGTCATGTGCCTGTCATGTGCCTGTCATGTGCCTGTCATGTGCCTGTCATGTGCCTGTCATGTGCCTGTCATGTGCCTGTCATGTGCCTGTCATGTGCCTGTCATGTGCCTGTCATGTGCCTGTCATGTGCCTGTCATGTGCCTGTCATGTGCCTGTCATGTGCCTGTCATGTGCCTGTCATGTGCCTGTCATGTGCCTGTCATGTGCCTGTCATGTGCCTGTCATGTGCCTGTCATGTGCCTGTTCATGTGCCTGTCATGTGCCTGTCATGTGCCTGTCATGTGCCTGTCATGTGCCTGTCATGTGCCTGTCATGTGCCTGTCATGTGCCTGTCATGTGCCTGTCATGTGCCTGTCATGTGCCTGTCATGTGCCTGTCATGTGCCTGTCATGTGCCTGTCATGTGCCTGTCATGTGCCTGTCATGTGCCTGTCATGTGCCTGTCATGTGCCTGTCATGTGCCTGTCATGTGCCTGTCATGTGCCTGTCATGTGCCTGTCATGTGCCTGTCATGTGCCTGTCATGTGCCTGTCATGTGCCTGTCATGTGCCTGTCATGTGCCTGTCATGTGCCTGTCATGTGCCTGTCATGTGCCTGTCATGTGCCTGTCATGTGCCTGTCATGTGCCTGTCATGTGCCTGTCATGTGCCTGTCATGTGCCTGTCATGTGCCTGTCATGTGCCTGTCATGTGCCTGTCATGTGCCTGTCATGTGCCTGTCATGTGCCTGTCATGTGCCTGTCATGTGCCTGTCATGTGCCTGTCATGTGCCTGTCATGTGCCTGTCATGTGCCTGTCATGTGCCTGTCATGTGCCCTGTCATGTGCCTGTCATGTGCCTGTCATGTGCCTGTCATGTGCCTGTCATGTGCCTGTCATGTGCCTGTCATGTGCCTGTCATGTGCCTGTCATGTGCCTGTCATGTGCCTGTCATGTGCCTGTCATGTGCCTGTCATGTGCCTGTCATGTGCCTGTCATGTGCCTGTCATGTGCCTGTCATGGTGCCTGTCATGTGCCTGTCATGTGCCTGTCATGTGCCTGTCATGTGCCTGTCATGTGCCTGTCATGTGCCTGTCATGTGCCTGTCATGTGCCTGTCATGTGCCTGTCATGTGCCTGTCATGTGCCTGTCATGTGCCTGTCATGTGCCTGTCATGTGCCTGTCATGTGCCTGTCATGTGCCTGTCATGTGCCTGTCATGTGCCTGTCATGTGCCTGTCATGTGCCTGTCATGTGCCTTCATGTGCCTGTCATGTGCCTGTCATGTGCCTGTCATGTGCCTGTCATGTGCCTGTCATGTGCCTGTCATGTGCCTGTCATGTGCCTGTCATGTGCCTGTCATGTGCCTGTCATGTGCCTGTCATGTGCCTGTCATGTGCCTGTCATGTGCCTGTCATGTGCCTGTCATGTGCCTGTCATGTGCCTGTCATGTGCCTGTCATGTGCCTGTCATGTGCCTGTCATGTGCCTGTCATGTGCCTGTCATGTGCCTGTCATGTGCCTGTCATGTGCCTGTCATGTGCCTGTCATGTGCCTGTCATGTGCCTGTCATGTGCCTGTCATGTGCCTGTCATGTGCCTGTCATGTGCCTGTCATGTGCCTGTCATGTGCCTGTCATGTGCCTGTCATGTGCCTGTCATGTGCCTGTCATGTGCCTGTCATGTGCCTGTCATGTGCCTGTCATGTGCCTGTCATGTGCCTGTCATGTGCCTGTCATGTGCCTGTCATGTGCCTGTCATGTGCCTGTCATGTGCCTGTCATGTGCCTGTCATGTGCCTGTCATGTGCCTGTCATGTGCCTGTCATGTGCCTGTCATGTGCCTGTCATGTGCCTGTCATGTGCCTGTCATGTGCCTGTCATGTGCCTGTCATGTGCCTGTCATGTGCCTGTCATGTGCCTGTCATGTGCCTGTCATGTGCCTGTCATGTGCCTGTCATGTGCCTGTCATGTGCCTGTCATGTGCCTGTCATGTGCCTGTCATGTGCCTGTCATGTGCCTGTCATGTGCCTGTCATGTGCCTGTCATGTGCCTGTCATGTGCCTGTCATGTGCCTGTCATGTTGCCTGTCATGGCCTTATGTGCCTGTCATGTGCCTGTCATGTGCCTGTCATGTGCCTGTCATGTGCCTGTCATGTGCCTGTCATGTGCCTGTCATGTGCCTGTCATGTGCCTGTCATGTGCCTGTCATGTGCCTGTCATGTGCCTGTCATGTGCCTGTCATGTGCCTGTCATGTGCCTGTCATGTGCCTGTCATGTGCCTGTCATGTGCCTGTCATGTGCCTGTCATGTGCCTGTCATGTGCCTGTCATGTGCCTGTCATGTGCCTGTCATGTGCCTGTCATGTGCCTGTCATGTGCTGTCATGTGCCTGTCATGTGCCTGTCATGTGCCTGTCATGTGCCTGTCATGTGCCTGTCATGTGCCTGTCATGTGCCTGTCATGTGCCTGTCATGTGCCTGTCATGTGCCTGTCATGTGCCTGTCATGTGCCTGTCATGTGCCTGTCCATGTGCCTTGTCATGTGCCTGTCATGTGCCTGTCATGTGCCTGTCATGTGCCTGTCATGTGCCTGTCATGTGCCTGTCATGTGCCTGTCATGTGCCTGTCATGTGCCTGTCATGTGCCTGTCATGTGCCTGTCATGTGCCTGTCATGTGCCTGTCATGTGCCTGTCATGTGCCTGTCATGTGCCTGTCATGTGCCTGTCATGTGCCTGTCATGTGCCTGTCATGTGCCTGTCATGTGCCTGTCATGTGCCTGTCATGTGCCTGTCATGTGCCTGTCATGTGCCTGTCATGTGCCTGTCATGTGCCTGTCATGTGCCTGTCATGTGCCTGTCATGTGCCTGTCATGTGCCTGTCATGTGCCTGTCATGTGCCTGTCATGTGCCTGTCATGTGCCTGTCATGTGCCTGTCATGTGCCTGTCATGTGCCTGTCATGTGCCTGTCATGTGCCTGTCATGTGCCTGTCATGTGCCTGTCATGTGCCTGTCATGTGCCTGTCATGTGCCTGTCATGTGCCTGTCATGTGCCTGTCATGTGCCTGTCATGTGCCTGTCATGTGCCTGTCATGTCATGTGCCTGTCATGTGCCTGTCATGTGCCTGTCATGTGCCTGTTCCCTCCCCACACATGAGCAGGCAACTGTCCAACAACAGCATCACCGGTAGCATCCCAGAGGCTATGGGCCGCCTTTCCGGACTTGCCTTCCTGTGAGCACCACAGACCACCTGTGAGCACCACCACAGTCCACCTCTACGCACCACTGATTCACCCCTGAACTAGCTATTCAATAGTTTACTTAACTCTTGTTTTAAGGCTTCTTGAAAACTCTCACCTGTAAGCACCACCAATTCACCCTTATCTCGAACATCTAAACATGTGAGCACCAGTCCTGCATCATCTTTTCTCTCGCTCTTGTGCCCTGCACTTCGTCCTCTCGTCCCCTTGCTCTCTTGTCCTATTGTTGTTGTCCTCTTATTCTCACCTCCTCTCGTCCGTCCTCTTGCTTGCCCTGCTCACTTCCTTCCCTCCCCAACCCTTCCCTCGCCCTCCCTTCCCTTTCATCCTCTTCCTTTCCCCGTCTCTCTGCGTAGCCTTCAAAATTTCCCCTCTACTCTACTCCTCCCCTCTCCGCTCCCTCCGCTCCTCTCCCTCTCCTCTCCCTCCTCTCCTCGCCCTCCGCGACTCTCCTTCCCCTCCTCTCCAGCCTCTCCTCCCCTTTGCAGCATCTTGCAAGGAATCAAATCAGCTGTCGGTCGCACCACATCATGCCTTCGTCCTTACACGCTGGTCCACCAAAAAATGCTCTCTTATCCTCCCGTTTGCAACTACCTTGCAACTACCTCTCCTATCAAATCAGCAGGCAGTTGTAGGTCCCTCCCACCCCCTGCATTCTTTCATTCTAGTCTATTAACAAATGCTCTCTTCTCCTCCCCCCGCCCTCCCCGGCAGCCAAGTTGCAGGGAATCAGCTGTCGGGTTCACTGCCTGCAATCTTTCTTTGGAGTCAACTAAAAGTCGCTCTCTTCTTCTCATCCCCCACCCCCGCACTCCCCGGCAGCCAACTTGCAGGGAATCAGCTGTCGGGGTCGCTGCCTGCATTCTTTTCACAGCTCACATCGCTTGATACCATGTAAGACAGGCAGTGCGTCTCAGAAGTCGCGTTGAGGCGCCTCAGAAGTCGCGTTGAGGCGCCTCAGAAGTCGCTTGATGGCATGTAAGCCAGGCAGGAATAAGCAGTCAGTGGCAATACACTTAGCGAATACTCTTTGTCAGTAGGCAGTGCTGTTGGGGTATATTGCGGTTGCATCAACTTGTCTCTCTCTGTTCATGTTCCCTTTCACTGACTCGGGTCGCAACACTTTGTCAATACTCTTGTCAATACTCTTGTCAATACTCTTGTCAATACTCTTGTCAATACTCTTGTCAATACTCTTGTCAATACTCTTGTCAATAATCTTTGCCAGTAGCCAGTGCTGCTGGGGTATGTTGCAGTTGCATCAACTTATCTCTCTCTCTGTCCATGTTCCCTTTCGCTGACTCGAGTCGCAACAACCTTTCTGGCCAATACTCTTGCCACTACGCTCAACCTTTCTCACCCTTCTGGCGTTCCCTTGCAGTGACTTGAGTCGCAACAGCCTTTCTGGCCCACTCCCTCCCTCTGCCTTCAACTGGTCTCTCTCTTTGCTGTACGCACTTTGATATGAGCATCCTCTTTCCCCCTATACATCCGACCGGTCTTTCCCTCCCTCTGCGTTTAACTGGTGTCTCTCCCTGCTGTAAGCACTCCGAGTGAATGCTCCCCCCTGCACCTCTCAGCGAACAACTGGTCTTTCTTCCTGCTGGAAAATAGTCAACACGTTCTCTCGCTCGCACCTGTCACCAGTTTTCTTTCCTTTTCTGTTTTTCCCGTAAGCCACATCAGCTTGCCTTCGTTTATCAGTGTTACTTTCAAGAATTCTCAAAAGTAACACCCATAAGCCACATCAGCTTGCTTTTGTTCATCGGTCCCCCTCTCTTCTCCCGCCTCTTGCATAACTTGTTTCTGGCCTGGGCATGAATCAGGGACCTATCTGGGAACGACCTATCAGGGGAGCTTTCTTGAGGCGCCTCAAGAACTACATCTGTCTGATCGGTCCCCCTCGCTTCTCCTGCTTCTTGCATAACTTGTTTCTGGCCTGGACATGAATCAGGGACCTGTCTGGAAACGGCCTATCAGGGGAGCTTCCTGCTTATCTCGGCGACTATGTTGCAGAGATGTGAGTGATGCTTTTGACGAATGCCCTGTCGCACTCTCACGCTCACACACTCTCACACTCACACTCTCACACTCACACTCTCTCTCACACTCACACTCTCACGCTCTCAGTCTCGCACTCTTGCAATCACACTCTTGCAATCACACTCTTGCTCCGAGAAAAGCCTGTCGGGGAGCTTCCTGCTTATCTTGGCGGCTGTGGTGCAGAGATGTGAGTCCCACACACCCCCACTTTCCCTCCTCCCACAGCACCCCCGCACTCTCCCTCCCACAACCACCACCCTGTTTTCCCTTGCCAAGACGTGGAAAGCACTCTCACTTGGCCCCGCAGACGGCGCACCCTGCTCGATCCAGCTCAAGAGGAGAGCCGCTTTCCAGACTCTCATTCCCAGACGCTTGATTCAACAACCCCACACCCACCACCCCCTTGCAGAGACGTGGACAGCACACTCACTTGCCCCGCAGACGGCACACCCTGCTCCGTCCAGCTCAAGAGGAGGGCTGCTGCGTATTATCCCAACGACTTCTGCGCCCGCGTCTGCCCCTCCTTCTGCCAAACCTGCGTTGCCCCGCTGGATGATGGCTCGGGTGGGGGGTCAGACGGAGGCTCGGGAGGAGGGTTGGGGGGAGGGTTTGGTGGGGGGTTTGGTGGGTTTGGGGGAGGGTTTGGTGGGAGTACGAGTGGGGGTTTGGCTAGCACAGAGGGAGTTACTAGCAGTGAGGGGGGTTTGGTGGGAGGCAAAGGCTTGACAAGCTTTGGACTGGCTAGCAAAAGAGGTGCTTATGGGAAAAGGCATCTACACTGATGTAAAAACACAACCTAAATTAATTCATTGTCAAATCATTAATTCATTCGGGACCAAATTCTTTCTGCCTCGTGTCCTTTTGTATTTATACTGTACTTGAACATGAGTGCTAATGGGTCAAACATGACAGACATGGTTGCACTCTACACCGGTTTGTTTGTTCACTTTGCCGCTTTGAACCACTCCTCACCAGCCTGAACAGTGATACCCAAATCTTATACCTAAAAGTCAGCCCTCGTTCGTGACTATCCTACCCTAGGGCTACCAGAGGCATGAGCAATGATGGATGAGGGATGGGGAGTTGTGTTATGTGTCCCTGGAATCATATTTGCTTTCACTGTACAAACATAGCCATTCCTTGGAAAAATACAAACAACTTGGCAAGTGAGCTAGTCAAATAACTTTCCAACTCCTAGTCTAGACGGTGGTTTCTCACATCCCCTTCAGAATCACAAGTGCCCCTCATTATACACATTCTCCCTACTCATTAAGAGGAGAGACGAGCGCCGTAGCCTCAGAAACAACCTCAAGCCGACGAGTCCTTGCCCTCGTAACCTCCTCTCGAACTCCAATCAGCTCCACCAGCACTTTGCTTATAGTGGGTCGCACAGAGACGGGTACGGATGTGCAGCAGAGGGCCAGTTGCAGCAGGCGCTTAATCATGCTGGCCGGTGCCTGTAAGGTTGGGTCCATCCACTTGCTCGTGTCTTGATGTTGCAGGGACCTAGCGACCTGGGAGGAAGACAAGTGAAACGCATATGAAATTGGAACGCTGAAGGAAGGGGAAGGTACTGTTGCTGGGGCTACTTAATAACTCCGGCTCACTGGTTTACTGAGCAGATTTATGAGGCGCCTCAAACGGTGGAACCAGAGGTGCCTCAGTAGGCGGATTTCTGAGGCAACTCGAAAGTGAGTTCTGGCTCAGTGGTTTACTCAGCGGGTCCCACAACAACCAGAGCTCTTGGAAAAGAGAAACGGCATATATGGTTGTCCAGACTCACCAGGCCAACATGCTCTTGAGGTTCCTTGAAACCTTTTTGGCCCAACCAGTGTTTGAGATTCATGTGCTTCAGAGGCTTCTGAAGTGCCTTTTAGGAGCCTTAGATCGTGTTAGGCCCTCCCAGTGTTAGGCCCACCCAGTGTTTGACAGTCACACTCTCTACGGGCCTGAAGCCACCGTCTCTGGCAACGGATATGACTGCCTTGTGCCCCGTGCAAGAGCGAACACTTGCAGGAAAAGCGAAACGGTCAACACGATTGTGAAGGCTCACCCAGTGTTTGACGTTCACATGCCCCACAGGCCCAAAGCCGTCGTCTCTCTCTACCGGTATGACTGCCTTGCGCCCTGTTAGCAGCACCAGCATCACCACTCCGAAGCTGCAGGGAAACGAGAGCACACGAGATTGCATTGCACCTTGTAGCGGACGTGCCAGCAAGTGATTCTCATGAGTGTATGTAATTCCATTTTGAGCAAGTCTAACTGAAGGCAAACGAAAATCCCAGCAACACAGCATTACATCCCCTCACCTGTGCACGTCAGCCGTAGGGGTGGCCTTGCACCACTCTTAGTGCCGTTGCTGCTGCTATCAGCACTACCATACAAGCGCTAGTACTGCTATTCTGAGATCTCACAACCCCCTCACCTGTGCACGTCAGCCGTAGGGGTGGCCCTGTGTGACTCAAAGTAGGCAGGGTCCACAAAGCTGGGTGCATTGAGGTGACTTTCGAGGCGCCTAAAAAAACACCTAAAAATGAGGCATCTAAAAAAAAACATATAAAAGAGGCGTCTCAAAAATCACCTCACCAAGAGGCGCCTATCACCTCAAAAGAGGCGTCTATCACCTCAAAAGAGGCGCCTATCACCTCAAAAGAGGCGTCTATCACCTCAAAAGAGGCGCCTATCACCTCAAAAGAGGCGTCTATCACCTCAAAAGAGGCGTCTATCACCTCAAAAGAGGCGCCTATCACCTCAAAAGAGGCGCCTATCACCTCAAAAGAGGCGTCTATCACCTCAAAAGAGGCGTCTATCATCTCAAAAGAGGCGTCTATCACCTCAAAAGAGGCGTCTATCACCTCAAAAGAGGCGTCTATCACCTCAAAAGAGGCGCCTATCACCTCAAAAGAGGCGTCTATCATCTCAAAAGAGCGCCTATCACCTCAAAAGAGGCGTCTATCATCTCAAAAGAGGCGTCTATCACCTCAAAAGAGCGCCTATCATCTCAAAAGAGGCGCCTATCACCTCAAAAGAGGCGTCTATCATCTCAAAAGAGCGCCTATCACCTCAAAAGAGGCGTCTATCATCTCAAAAGAGGCGTCTATCACCTCAAAAGAGGCGTCTATCATCTCAAAAGAGCGCCTATCACCTCAAAAGAGACGCCTCCAAAATCACCTGTGCACGTCAGCTGTAGGGGTGGCCCTGCATGACTCAAAGTAGGCCGGGTCCACAAAGCCTGGTGTGCCCACCACTCGAGTCGACTCCCATACACCACTCGCTATGCTGCTGGTGGTGCTGCCGCTGCTGCTGATGATGGTAACAGCAGTGTCTGGGCTGCTTGCTGTGTCGATGAGATGGTGCTGCTGGGGTGGTAAGGGGTTGGACCGTAGCAGCCCGAAATCTGCAATTTTGGCCTGAGGAGTGGTAAGGATGGAGAGAGAAGGGAGGAGAGGGGAGGAAGGAGAGGGGAGGAAGGAGAGGGAAGGAAGGAGAGAGAAGGGAGGAGAGGGAAGGATGGAGAATGAAGGAAGGAGAGAGAAGGAAGGAGAGAGAAGGAAGGAGAGAGAAGGAAGGAGAGAGAAGGAAGGAGAGAGAAGGAAGGAATGATAAGAAACTGAGCAGATGAAGTGGAGAACAGAGGGTGAGAAGGCAGAGTAGGGGAAGGGATGGTTTTTGATTGAGTTTAAGAGGGATAAGTTACATGCACAGCCACCCGCGCACACACACCACGCACGAACACCCACCCATGGACGCCTGCGTCCGCACACCCACCCACACACAGCCGCCCAAGCCTCCGCACCTGCATGCTCCCATCCAGCAGAATGTTGGCTGGCTTGATGTCGCGATGCACGATGCCAAAGCCATGAAGATACTCCAATCCGCGTGCCACCCCAATCAGAATGTCCAACCGTTGCTGCAGGGAGAGGGGCGCGGAGCCTGGGGTTGGGGGAGGGGGAAGGTAGTGTGGGATAGGCCAAGAGTAACAGCCGATGAATGCCCAAAGCCTTGAAGATATTCCAACTGCGCACCATCCCAAATAGACAGCCCAGGCACTGCTGCAGGGAGAGGGGCGAGGAGGCTGGGGGTGGGGGAGGGGGGTTTAATTTAAGTGAGGGAAGGGGCAGGAATAACCGCAGATGAATGCCCAAAGCCACGAAGATACTCCTATCTGCGCACCATCTCAAATAGACAGCCCAGGCACTGCTGCAGGGAGAGGGGCGAGGAGCCCGGGGGCGGGGACATGACGGAGAATTGTGAGGAGAGGAGGGGGGGGAGGGGAGAATGGCGTTTTGTTTGATGCCAATCATTTGCAGATACTCCGGTCTTTGCGGCGCCTCATAAACCACCTTTGGAGGCATTAAAAAATTCGTGAGGAGCGGGGGGGAATGGTGTGCTGCTTGACGCCAACGAACTGCAGATTCCTGGTCCAGTCCTCTTAATCAAACTCTGGTCCAAGATTGATGATGCCAAACTTCTTGATCAAGATTGATGATGCCAAACTTCTTGATAAAGATTGATGATGCCAAACTTCTTGATCAAGATTGATGATGCCAAACTTCTTGATCAAGATTGATGATGCCAAACTTCTTGATCAAGATTGATGATGCCAAACTTCTTGATCAAGATTGATGATGCCAAACTTCTTGATCAAGATTGATGATGCCAAACTTCTTGATCAAGATTGATGATGCCAAACTTCTTGATCAAGATTGATGATGCCAAACTTCTTGATCAAGATTGATGATGCCGAACTTCTTGATCAAGATTGATGATGCCAAACTTCTTGATCAAGATTGATGATGCCAAACTTCTTGATCAAGATTGATGATGCCAAATTTCTTGATCAAGATTGATGTTGCCGAACTTCTTGATCAAGATTGATGATGCCAAACTTCTTGATCAAGATTGATGATGCCAAACTTCTTGATCAAGATTGATGATGCCGAACTTCTTGATCAAGATTGGTGATGCCAAACTTCTTGATCAAGATTGATGATGCCGAACTTCTTGATCAAGATTGATGATGCCAAACTTCTTGATCAAGATTGGTGATGCCAAACTTCTTGATCAAGATTGATGATGCCGAACTTCTTGATCAAGATTGATGATGCCAAACTTCTTGATCAAGATTGATGATGCCGAACTTCTTGATCAAGATTGATGATGCCAAACTTCTTGATCAAGATTGACGATGCCAAACTTCTTGATCAAGATTGATGATGCCAAACTTCTTGATCAAGATTGATGATGCCAAACTTCTTGATCAAGATTGATGATGCCAAACTTCTTGATCAAGATTGATGATGCCAAACTTCTTGATCAAGATTGATGATGCCAAACTTCTTGATCAAGATTGATGATGCCGAACTTCTTGATCAAGATTGATGATGCCAAACTTCTTGATCAAGATTGATGATGCCAAACTTCTTGATCAAGATTGATGATGCCAAACTTCTTGATCAAGATTGATGTTGCCGAACTTCTTGATCAAGATTGATGATGCCAAACTTCTTGATCAAGATTGATGATGCCGAACTTCTTGATCAAGATTGATGATGCCGAACTTCTTGATCAAGATTGATGATGCCAAACTTCTTGATCAAGATTGATGATGCCAAACTTCTTGATCAAGATTGATGTTGCCGAACTTCTTGATCAAGATTGATGATGCCAAACTTCTTGATCAAGATTGATGATGCCGAACTTCTTGATCAAGATTGATGATGGTTTTGGTAGCACTCTGGTCCAAGAAGAGAATCAATGATTCAATAAGAGAATCAAGAAGAGAATCAATGATTCAATAAGAGAATCAAGAAGAGAATCAATGATTCAATAAGAGAATCAAAAAGAGAATCAATGATTCAAAAAGAGAATCAAGAAGAGAATCAATGATTCAGTATTCTGGTGCTCTCGTCCCCGAGTCAATTTTCGAGTCGACTCAAAAGTCGATTTTTGAGTCGACTAAAAAAACGACTTAGCACTCTGGTCCCTGAGTCAAGGTAACCGAACCTGCTCGCGAGCACAATTCTGAGAAGGTTCTATTAACCTGCTCAAGATGACTTTTGAGTCGCCTCAAAAGCTCAAACCTCCTTGGAGATGAATTTTGAGGCGCAATCAATTGTCCCTTCACAGCCCCAGGAATCCACCTGCCTGGATAAGCTTCTTGTTTTGAGGCGCCTCAAAGGAATTTTGAGGCGCAATCAGTTGTCCCTTCACAGCCCCAGGAATCCACCTTTGAGTCGACTCACAAGAAAATGTGTCGTGTGCCATTGTAACAAGGTGACTTTTGAGTCGACTCAAAAGAATTCTTGAGGCGCAATCTGTTGTTCCTTTACAGCCCCAGGAATCCACCTACCTGGATAAGCTTCTTGGAAAGGCTCACCTGCCAGCTTCCTGCTCTCAAGATACCCCCCTTGCATGAGCTCATAATCAACAGTTGCTCCACCGCACCCTTCCAGTTTGAGTGGCTGCACCCTTCACCCTGCACCCTGCACCCTGCACCATGCACATGCACCCTGCACCATGCACCCTGCACCATGCACCCTGCACCATGCACATGCACCCTGCACCATGCACCATGCACCCGGCAAACAGATAAGCCCACCCACCTGCCTGCATCCTGCTCTCAAGGTCTCCCCCTTCCATTAGCTCATAGATCAACACTTGCTCCACCGTAAAACCACCAGTAGACCCCTTTCCCCCACCGCTGCCACCCCCGCCCCTCGTTCCCCTCACGCTTCTGTTGCTCCTGCTGCTGCTCCTGCTGCTGCTTCTCCTTGTGAAAAACGAGAGGCTGAGAAGCAGTGGGTTGGTTCGGGCCTGATCCTGCCGCTCCTCCATACAGTACCCCAGGAGCTTCACGAGGTGGGGGTGGTGCTTGCTGCACATGCCGTTAACCTAGTGGGGGGAGGAGGGAGAGAGAGGGGTCTATTTTTTAGGGACCTCAAAAGCCTGGCAGCAGTGGGTTGGTTTGGGCCTGCTCCTGCCGCTCCTCCATGCAGTATCCCAGGAGTTTCACGAGGTGCGGGTGGTGGTTGCTGCACATGCCGTTGACCTAGTGGGGGAGGGGGGAAAGAGGGGTGAGAGAAGGGAAAGGCGCTGGGAGGAGAGGGGAGAAGATGAGGTGTGCCCCCCCTCCCGTCGCTGTCTGCGCTATTTGCACTGCTTGCACTGTCTGCACTGTCTGCACTGTTTGCACTGTTTGCCCTGTTTGCACTATTTGCACTGTTTGAACTGTCCAAACTAACTCATGGTCCGCTCTATTTCAACACCCACTGAATTGCACGTCTCACCTCCCGCTGAAAGTCATCTGAGAACACTTTCCCTCGCAACAACAGCCCATGCCACAGCTGGGGTTTTTTTAGGCGCCTTAAAAGTGGCACTTCGCCCTAACCCCTCACTCACTGAGTGGCACTGCTCACCCACCTCCCTCTGAAAGTCATCTGAGAACACTTTCCCTCGCTTCACAGCCCACAGCTCGTGAGGATCGAAGGGGGAGACCCCCCTGTACACGTCAGCAAATCCGCCAGAGCCAATCAGATTGCAAGGCGCCCAGTTGTCGGTGGCCTGAAGGACGGTGGAGAGGGGGTACTGCTGGCAGATGCCAGGTGGCACGCTGTGGTTGGACGATGCTGAAGGGAGGGTGGGAAACCGGGGAAAAGAATGATCACAAGGGCACCAACAGCTGCAACAGCACAAAGTGCTTATTAAGAATTATCACACATCTCCCAAACCCAGGGCTCTTACACTTGGAGTGTAGGGATCGACCTTGCCTCCAGTGCAGCTTTGCACAGGCAGAAAATAAGAGCAGCAACAGCAGTGACAGCACAGAGTGTTCTCTAAAGATTGCTACACATCACATCTCCTGGCCTGGACCTTGCTTCTGGTACTGCTTGCACGGGTTCTTACTTACACTTGGTGCGTAGAGAGTGGCCTTGATTCTGGTACTGCTTGCACAGGCAGAATATAAGAGCAGCAACAACAGCGACAGCACAACACAGAGTGCGTACCAAATATTGTTACACATCTCCCGGCCCGGACCCAGGGCTCTTACACTTGGCGCGTAGAGAGCCGCCTTGCTTCTGGTACTGCTTGCACAGGCAGAAGATAAGAGCAGCAACAACAGCGACAGCGCATAGTGCTGCCACTGCCACACCTGCTATTACACCCGTTGAGATACTGACAGGTGGCGTTGGGTAGGGAGGAGAGAGAGGAGGAGGAGGTGGAGGAGGGAGGGGGGAAGGGGAAAGTGGCTGTAGAGTTGGTGTTGGCGTTAGAGCAAGTGGGGATGAAGGGGAGGGGACAGAAGAGGAATATGTTGGCAGTGCTGCTGGTGATGGTGCTGCTGCTGGTGATGGTGCTGCTGCTGGTGATGGTGCTGCTGCTGGTGATGGTGGTGCTGCTGGTGATGATGGTACTGCTGCAAGTGTTGGTGCTGGTGTTGACGGTGGTGGAGTTGGTACTGGTGCTGGCGCTGGTGAACTGGCAGATGATACTGGTGCACCAGCAGATGCAACTGGAGCACCAGGAGATGAAACCGGTGGAAGGCCAGGTGTATAAGATCCTGAAGTAGTGTAGGGCAGCATGGCACGATAGAATTGAAAGATACATAATTTTAATCGTTCATTAGTTAAGATTAGTGCAGGGGGGAAAAAGCACGATGAGGGAAAAAGCACGATGAGGGAAAAAGCACGATGAGGGAAGAAACACGATGAGGGAAAAAGCACGATGAGGGAAGAAACACGATG